GTTCTGTAATATAGTTGTGCTTCCGTGTGTATAATGTTTATTGACAAAAGACATGTCTGTGTGCATGTGTATGTATTGGGTTTTTTTTTTTACTTAGCCATGGAGCTTGAACTGAGGCTCTAATAGTCTAATAGTTCATAAAAGAACTTTTTAACCCATTACTTTCTGCTTCACAAGTGCTAAGTAGTGGTGGATGCTTATACGTATAATAGATATAACACCATTTATCAAACTCAAACTTCCAGGATAGAATATGTGATGTGTTTGTTTTGTCAGCTGACAAAACAGTAGGCTGATATTAGTTCTTGATTTTAATTATTTCATTATTAGTTCCTAAAGCCACTTCCGGAACTATTGAAATTATTTCTGCCATCCCTTTAACTGGGGTACTTCTTGCTCTTACTTTTACTCCTTAATTCAGTGGGCTTCCTTTTAAATCTTGCATCTGTCCCAAACTGTAGTTACTGCCTTAATACAATTACACTTGTACAATGAAATCAGAATGATCACTCCCTGACTTTTATTTTTTATTATTCTTGTAAAAGTGACAATGTAAAATAAAATCCTCTCCTCATTAAACAAGACCAATTCAACTCGCCTAGTAAAACCTCTGTACTTCTTTAATTATTTTTAAGGTGGAATGAAGATCAAACTTCTGTTCCACAAAGCGCCACTTATTTACAATGCTTTTTGTTACTAAAGAGATCAGCACAGAAAGACTGTGCTCCACAACTGTTTGGGGTTGTTTTCTTCTTCCAGTTCTGTAACCAAACTAAAAATCATTATTCGCATTATTCTGATTATAATTATGACTTCAATTTTTCAGAAAAAATAAGTTGACTAAATACAGGAAGAATTGGCAGTGCACTTTATAAGCAAGAAAGATTTTTAGCCTATTCAGAAATGTCTTATAACGCAAAATGAAAATTAATATTGGAAATGTGTTTAACTGTAAAACCTATCTACTAGAGACTATTGTTTGCCTTTGGGAGTATTTTATCATAGATACATTATTATAAAGCAAAGCAACTTTTCTATACACTTGCAATGTTTAGCATAATTTCCTTTTTTGTATTTCATACCAGTGATAAAAGGAAAGCTGACAGTAATAGTTACTTTATTAAATAAAAATGACTTCCATGGCTGTAGCCATTTTTAGAAGTGGCTATATGTGTTATATCTGCATTGTAAAAAAAAAAAAAAGTAGGACTGTTGAAGTCACTAGAAGTTTTGTCTGTGAGAGCAGAATTAGGTATTTAGACCTCATTTGGAAAGGAATTATTCAAACCCTTAACTTTTGTGGAAGGGGCCGCTCCAGTTAAACTTAAAAAAAAAAAAATTGTGTGTTCAAGTGTTTGCATAAATCTTGGCAGCATATGGGCCTCTATTTTGCATCAGTACTGAACATGAGAAGTAGAGTGAACAGTTTAATACCATGAGAGAAATTCTGTGTCCGGGAAGTTGATGGAAAAACTCTCGCTGACTTCAGTGGGCCCATGTATTTCAATTGCAGGCTGTTTTAGGGACTAGCATCCACACTCTGGGTGCATCCACACATGCAGGCATGTGTTCTTGCGGCAAGTCAAACAGAATGGTACAAATTTGGGGTGTTTTGCCTCGGCGCACGTACTTGGACATGGACTTTGTTGTGAAGCAAATCATGCCACTTGGGGCAAAATAACCACCTGGCTTCTCTCACATCTGCAGCCAGGCGGAGCTAGAGCCCAGGGCCAGCACCTGTGCTGTCCCCATCAGTACAAAAAACTGCCCTGGCAAGTAGCTCAGGGCTACTCACTCCCAGGAGCTTCTGGGGCCCAGGCAATTGTTACCTGGGGACACTACCCCTTGTGCCAGCTGGACTGCTGAAGCAGCCCTGAGAGCTCTCTGCACCCTCTACCTGCTGCAGGGGGCTGGCAGTGGGGGCTGCTGCCTGGCTGTGACCTGCTGCACACCTGCTAGACCTGGATGGGGACTGCACAGCCAGTAGAGGCATCTGTCCCTCTGGGCCAGCTGCCAGTGGGCTGTGGCTGCAGAGTTGGCCTCTGTGCGGTACTACTGCCATGTGTGCCCTCTGCCTGGCCATCTGGGCAGCTATCTCCGGAAGATGTTCTGGGTGTGGTGGCCTGCTTTGAACTGTCAAGTCTAACCCAGTGCAGTGCAGCATGGGGCTGTGCGCCTTCAGGCAGCCCTGGGCCACTTGAGCTGTTACCTGGGCCCCGGCACCACTAGTAGGGACCACGTTATGCCAGGTCAGGTCCTGCCTCCATGGAACCAGCTCAGCCCGAGGGCATGCAGGGCCCATGGAGGCAGGACCTGGTCTGGCATGACAGATGGTCCCTGTGAGTAGTGCTGGGCTCTGGGTGACAGCCCAAGTGGCCGGGGGCTGCCGGAAGGCACACAGTCCTGACCCTCAATGTGCTGCACCAGACCCACAACAAGTGGCACAGGTGCCACCAGGACCATGCAACACCACTGGGGGCTGCAGAGGTAGCTGTGGGCCCTGTAGGGGAGGAAAAGGGGGTTGTACCCTGCGGGGGATAGAGGATATACCCTTCTGAGCAGCCCCCCTCCACACAGCTCCCCCACACCCCCAAGCTATCCCCACAAACCCTTCACCCATATACCTGGCCCTGTGGATCAGGAGTGAGGGGACTGGGGGGGTGGCGGGCTGTGGGTTGAGAGTGAGGGTCAAGGGCAGGGGCAGGGCGCTGGCATCTCAGTGCTGCTTAGTGCCATGTATCCTGGTGAGCAAAGGGGGTAGGGGCAGCTTTACTTTTTCTATGACAAAAAACCCAAAAGTAAATGCGAAAGTGTATAGATATTTGAAATTTATTTTATTATGATAGAGACACTGGTAGGCTTCCAAATTACTTTAAACTTGTAAAGTATCAATAAAATATAGAGAGATCAGTTGGGCAATATATAGTGGCATTTTATTTTAATAACGAAAGAACACTATTTTGGGTATTTTAATGTGAGAATTTGGGTTTCTTATCAGAGAATTTGCAATTTTTAGACAGGGAAAACCAGAGTCTCTGCTGGTGAGACAAGTGGCGAGACCTGGGCAGAGGAGCTTGTTCAGGGCCAGCACTGGGGACCAGCTGGAGGGCAGATGAGGTTGCTGACCTCTTGGCCATTTGGGGACACACTTTGAGAGTTCAAAGTGGGCCACCACAAGAAGCACATCTTCTGGGCAATAGCTGCCAAGATGGCAGAGTGGGGTACCCCAGTGGAGTCTGGCAGGCATGCAGCCATGGAGCCGTAGGTCCAAGGGGGCAGATGCTGCTGCAGCTGGCAGCAGACCCCACTGCCAGACTGCTGCAGTGGGTAGAGGTGGCAGGGGCTGCTCTAGGTTAGGGCTGCTTCAGCAGTCCAGCTGGCACAAGGGGTAGTGTCCCCTGATACCAAGTGGCCCACTTTAAGGCCCCAGATACCTTAAGACCCACCTGGCTAACTAGTAGCCCCTTGTGGGGTTAATGAATGAGTTGTACAACTAAATTCTTGGGACAAATAAAGCAAAAACGGGATAGGAGTGTTGTGTGGGTCAACGGTTCAAAACATGAAAATAAGTGCACCTGAGGGAGACATCAAGCAGAGCCCCCTGGGCTGTGCCTACTGGTCCTCAAAGGTATCCAAGGAGCTGATGGACACTGTCCACTGGTGCTCTGCCTAGAAACATTCATGGATGAGTGGGAGGAATGTGGCTCCACAGTCCCCAGACACTTTCCCAGCCAGAGCCTCCTTCCTGGTAATGTACAGGGCTACTTGGCCAGGGCCAGGAGGAGGTTGACCAGGATTTGCTGGGGCCGTGGATGGAGTGCCCAAAAATAAAAAGGTAGGGGCTTCAAAAGCTCCCGAGGGCAAGGAGCCCTGAGCTGCTCACCAGGGCAGGTTTTTATAGTGGTGGGTCCAGCATCTAGCTCTCCCTGGCTGCAGATCTGGGAGGAGCTGGGCATTTTGCCCCAAGTGGCACAACTTACTCCACACCAAAGTGCATGTTCAGGCAAGTGCACTGTGGCAAAATTCCCTGGCACAAGTTTCTGCTGCTCTTATTTGAGCTGCTGCAAGTGCACATGCCTGCATGTGTGGATGCACCCTTGTAGTCTTAGCTTGAGACTCCCGCTTAACGTTTTCTAGGCCTGTGATTGAATCCCTGGTATGTTGGCTTACAGACTGTTGCATATGGAATGCTAAGCTCTTGAAGACAATGCCCTTGAGTTGCCACTGTAATAGAAATAATGCTACTGAAACTGAAATGATCCCTCCAGCTCACCTACTTAAATTCATGCTTGTGAGGTCTAAGCTTTGTCATAGACCATGCTGCCTTTTGATTTGCAAAGACTGCAGTTCAAGGAGTCTGGCTGAAATAAGGATAAATGGCTTGCAAGCTTCTTCAGATAAATTCATGCTAGCCCCTCTGGTGTAGTTCTGCGCTCTGTTTTTGGGTAAAATGGTTAAGAGTTGTATCAGCACAGCTGCTCAGTGGCCAATATTTTTTCCATCCTTACATGTGAAAATTGGTATCAGAAGTGCTTTCACACATGATTTCATCTTACTGATCACATGAAGCACAATCATGGCCCAACTAAAATTGGAGAGAGGTGGGCTAGGATTTTACCCATTACAGCAATCTGTAATCACTTGAAAGAGATGGTCCCCCAGAAATGTCACACAATTGCTCAAACATTTTTGATTAACAATGTAGTATAGAACTTCATGCATTTCTCTAGACTTGACTTTCTCAAGCATTATGTACAATTATTATATTTCTTATTTGTGTGCATCTCCCTCTCAAGGCCAAATGTATGTCCAGAACAAGAGCTTGCAATGGTGGGATATCAGCAGCCATGTGTTCAGGCTTTTACACGTATGATCAAGATGTGGAAACAAGGCTGCACAGGGCAGAGATGGTGTGTGAGCCATGAGAGAAGGTAATGTATACTCTGTAACTAAGTTATCTTATAATTCTCTTTAACAAATGCTGTATTTACTCCAGAAAGCAAACATGGCAATACGTTTTCTCCCCCCCCCGAACATGTTTTAAATTGTAGTAGTGTCATCATGAGATTTTACAGGCAACCTTTTTCTTTTATGTTTATGAATCTGCATTCTTGTCACACAGAAGAGAGTGTGTACATGTACACACAGCACTAGTTCGTGGCTTTAGTAATGCAAAAGATGTTGGTAACATTGACTCATGTTCTTCTTGCTGGTTCTTTAAGTTATCCCTATGACTTCAGTGAATTGAGGCCCTTCTGTTGACTAAAATTGGCTTGGGACTGGGCCCTAATAACAGCAGCAGAGGTGCTGTCTTTTTTCCATTTATGTTTAGAACAGATAAGGGATTATTCCAAAGGAAATGAGGAAAAATTGGTCATTGGGCAAAAATACACTAGCTCTGACTGAGGACTAAAAAAAATGTTACTGGAAACTGCTTGGGATATTTGAAGAAGAAGATTGTGTCACAGGATTGGCAATTGGAGATTATTAGGGTACTTTCATGTTATATTCTTTATTACAAGAACAATTTGTATAAAGAAAGCATGTCTATAAAAATGGTGCTCATGTCTTAAGACCTGTATTCATTGCTGCTGTGATTTTGAATAAACTGCACAGAAGGAAGCTGGGATTGTTCTCTTACACTGGCTTTTATTTTAAAGGACTGGGTATTACACGGTCTACAAACAGGTGTACAGAATGGAGCATCAGACTGTCTATAAGTGTTGCCCAGGGTGGATGCAGCAAGATGATGAGCCTGGCTGTTTGCGCTGTAAGTTGGTTGGTTTTATTCTGTACTGTGAGGCAAAGTGGAACAGTTTCATCACATAACTGTATTTTCTTATTGCATTGACTCTCTTAGAAGGATCGCTTTTGCAGATGAGATTCTCTTAATGGAGAAAGCTTTTCTTGTTTTGTCTTTTTTTTTTTAAAGAAATTGTATACAGTAGCTCTAGGTATCTTTTTAAGATGGCCAAGTGTATTTTACATGAACAACAGTCATAATTTATTTATTATTTTTTTTAAACCAAACAGGCCAGTCCTAGACTCAGAAGTGTAGCAGGGCACTTCTGCCTTGGGTAGCTACAAAGCATGGGGCAGTACCATCTGCCTCTGTGTTGATGGTGACAGCACAGTCAGCCACTGCTGTGACAACAGCTCTTTTTACATAAAGGTAGCACTTGGGATTGCTGTATCAGTTGTCCCGTGCCTCAGTTTACACTACTGCCTATGTTGGTACATCAGAATCGGTCCCATTCAGAACATGTGTAAATAGATGCAGATTATCTGAAATAAACTTTACTTGGTTACAGTAGCATTGGATCTGGCCATATGTCAGTATCTGGCCATAGCAGTGCTTTTCAACTGGTGTGCTATGGCTAATTAATACGCTGCAATGATTAAATAGTTACAGAAGACTCTCACATGTGTTGGCTGTGAGGGGGAGGAAGGGGGAGAATTAGCTGAGCAGAAAGAAATTCATCTACTGCACATGTGTTGGCTGTGGGGGATGTGCAGTTCGAGCCTCTGAATGGCTGTGCCGTAGAATTTTGCCACGGCAGTGAGCTACAATGAGTTCCTAAGTATGGGGATAAGTATGCCTTAACAGGTGTGCCATGGAAAATGTTTATTAATGTAAGTGCTTTGGGCTGAAAAGGTTGGGAAACACTGCTGTGTAGCACTGCCTTCTTCTCTATGATGCCAGCACTCCCAAAACTTTGTCCAGTTTTGGGCCCCCCACTTCAGGAGGGACGTGCATAAGCTTGAGAGAGTCCAAAAGAGAGGCACCCATATGATCAAAGGTCAAGAGGGGCAGCCTTCTGAGGAGATGCTGAGGGACTTGGGACTCTTCAGTCTGGAGCAGAGAAGGCTCCTGGAGGACTTGGTGACAGCCTACAAGTTTCATAGTTTCTAGGGTCGGAAGAGACCTGAGTAGAT